TCAAACAGTCCTAAGAACGTTCAGAGTGCGCTACTTCACAGGGGGATTCGCCCCCTTGACCCCGCCGGGGTCATACGTAATTCGCATAACGGCTCCCCCCCTTTCAAAATCCTGGCTACGTCCCTGCTTGACGAATACAGTAACATTTTCTTGTAGGTACTATATTAAAAACAAATTAAATATTTAGGTCCCAAAATAAAGAACACGTCATGATATTCCTATTTACATATATGAATAACGGGTAAGTGTTACTTGAAAGAGGTAATTAATGAGATACACAATCAGTGGCGGCGCCAGGATTTCCCCGACGAAGGATCCAAGGTCCCCGACGGGGGTAGGGGCTGATGTCCCCGACGAGAAAAAAGTGGGCGTGGTTGGGCATCGCTAAAAACCTTTCGAAAGTGGTCCAGGGGACGTAACCCCCCTCCCCCACAACCGAAAATATGACAATTTAGGGGTTTTAAAGGCTTATTTAATCGATTTTAGAGTCTATGTACAAAATGCATATAATTTATTTTAATTTTTTTTCTCCCCGACGAATTGTGGTTTTCTCCCCCACCGGGGGGGGGGGGGAAGTAGCTGCAGCAACTTTATGGAACAGTTTGTGTTCCATAGGCGTCTAATCCAATGACCGGTGTAGTAATGTGAAGCGCTTGGCCTTGTTAGCATTAAGCGTTATATAAATACATAATTATTATTACATTAATAATTTGTACAAACATAACTCAATTTAACGTAACATATATTTCTCTTTTCATTCATGTACAGCTTATAAAGATATTGATAAATATTTAAGTTTGAAAGAGAGGCGAAAACCCCCCAAAAAACAAAAGTTTGTTAAGGCCTCCCTGAATCAAAAAGAAAAAAAAATCATTATATTATAGAGATATGCTGTTAAAAATTTACATAACTTACATAAAACAAAAACCGTTATAATAAATCAGTGATACACATTTTTTGTATTGGTTGGAAGTATATCTTCGCTACTTGTGTTACCGGTTAAAACATGATCAGATCACTGTATGATGATGTCTGCTTCTCCAGTGACTCCAATTAACTCAGTGGATGAGAAAGACATAATGATGTCCCGCTCACCCGTTTTTTGCTTAGCCACCAACTTCACTTCAATTTCCACGGTCTCATTAGCCTTTATAGTTCTGAAATTAGAAAATATCGTTGAAAACATCCAGAAAATCTCTAGTTTAAATCGAGATGCAAACAGCTGTATTCTAAATTAATTTAACTCGTTACATCATCAGCGATGATATGTCTATTAATAGCATGGTAAATGTTGCTAAAATTACAATCCATAGATCAACACGGCCTCTATTAGTGTACAAGGCAGAATATTCCCATAAAAATTAATTATTGAACACAATAAATAAACCCTTTCCGCAAACCCCCGCGAAACGGCAGCATAAACGTACCTAAACATACGTGCTTGTGTTACATGCGCGTTTTCCTAGTCCTGTCTTCATTGGTCAGTTGTTAAGTTTTAGAATAACACTCCGGAAAGGTCCAGACTATCAGCATTTGCATTTGTCAAAAACAAATAATGTGGCAAAGATAAGCCAAACCAGTCACTCGTCGCAAAAATCGATTTTGAGTTATTAATACAGTGTTAGAGAGTAATAATAGCTATAAAATGGTAAAAAAAAAATCATTCAAATCGGACATTTCCTTATGAAGTTACAAGCGTTTAATCACACAGATGTTTAAAGAACAATATATGAGAAATCAGCCTTTATGATTTCAGGCATTTCTCATGCAGAAACTATCTTTAAATTCTTAAAAAAGTGTTGTTTTAACATTGAAAATGGGGAAAATAACAGCATAGAATGATGTATAGATATATAAAGGTTAGTTTAGTGCAATAAAATAGATTTTTAAAAATTTGATATTCCAGCATGTTTTGGCCATTTTCTCTGTAGCACAATTAGCGATGAGTGACTGGTTTGGCTTGTCTTTGCCACTAATGTTGCATGCCCTTCATTATGACCACAGGCATGTCACATATTTTTGTAAATTTGAAATTTCATAGCTTGACTTAAGTAGATCAGATTACCAACCTGAACATTTCTCGTTTGTAGCCAGCAAGGGCTGAACCCTCGGTACTAAAGAAACACTTCTGTAATTTATATGGTAACGGGTTGGTGAACTCCGCCTTGGCATAAAATGTTGATCCATTGGGTACCGTTAATGGTACCTAAAATCAATAGAGTAATAAGATTTATCAGCTAACTTTTCAATTGAATTAACGATAATGATAATTAAACAACGACACTATGCATGATAATGAAAATGGTTTTGAGTAGACTGTATTGTCCCCATAGATAATCGAACCCAATGCGTTCCAATCATCATTTACTTCTAACATTACAATGTCTTTAGGCCCTATAGACAAAAAAAAAGTGTATTAACAGGAAAATCCAAGGAAACATACCGTATGTTACAATGTTACCTTGGATTGTACTACTAACTTTAAATAGACCTTTCGCTTAGCCCCGCCCCTGTAATAGTGTTGGTAAAGTCCCAAAGAAACGTAAATGTAAGTAAAGACGTGCGTTCGTGTGACAGCACGTGCGGTTGTTGGAAACGAGCATATTCCTGGCACTGTTCTGATTGGTCTGTTGTTAAGAGGTTGATTGACACGCCGGAAAGGTCAATTGTGATCCAACCAAAGGTATAGGATGTCATAAAATTGACATTTTACTGGATACACACCGTGATCTTAATGTTCGGTTTCTTCAGTTTAAAATCGTATCCTTTGATGATTGTTTGGTTAGTTTCTTTGACAACCACTGTGACGTCGAATCGAATGTTGGCTTGGTCAACAAGACCACGCAGGTAATCAGAGGCTAGCAGCTTCAGACGATATTCACTTTCTAGAGAATAAAAGATGTGACATGAGATAGCAAAATATTTTAATAGTATTTTAATCATCGACATTCTGGACATCTATTTACTAGGCTAATCTCTGTTTATCTTGAGATATAACATATCAAAAACATCCAATATTATCATCGTTCTTCTTATTTCTATTAAAAGATTGGAAATATTAAGTGGCGACTGCAAAAACGACTGGAGTACGTCCCAAAGAGTTTAAAATTTGCACATCGCACAGTAAATTCAGTAACCAAGAAGATTACCGGTAATAAACCTGTGGCAAAACGATACATTTCTAAAAGCCTTTTATGACTCTTCAGAATTGTGTGGATTTTATATGTAAGACTTAGGAAAACATTCTTGAATATGCAAATAACGGTTTGGAGTTATACAAAAGCAGAGTGATTGAAACAGAGTGTAAAATTGTTTTGGGTCAAAGCAGAAACTGAAAATATTATGTCTTAGGTTGAAAAATATTCACGGTAATCATCGGAGTAAGCCTTCACCAACACTATATGGATGTTAGGCCTGTCACAAAATTTTATGCGCATTTAGATAGGCTAGATTGGATATAACCATTTTTTAAAACAGATTGTTACAAGTCTGAAAATGTGAAGAGAGGGGTATTGAAATAAACCTAGACCGTGGCGCACCTACCTGCGAGAGGCTTTACATCTACGGCCTTTAGTTCGTATATCACTTCTTTTGCACGAACACCCGTGTAGTACACAGAGTTCCCTGCAATACTTAATACGCAATTTCGATCTTCTGAGCTTGTGTTGCGCACAAGTAGAACCAGTTCAAAGTCGTTACCAATCATAACGTCGTCTGGCAGAGTGCCTACAATCTCCACATCTTTCTTCTTCTCAACAACAAGTTTCTTGACTGAATCGATGTGTTTTTCGACAGTATATATAGCAAGCATTTCCTTAGTTGAACCTAGGATAAAAACTCAAGATTTAGTGACAACATTTTCAAACTTAACCTAAATCAGGATAAGTATTCGTCTATAGGCCAATATTATTGATAGTAAAATTGACCTGTCAGTAGGTGAAAATGTTGTAATTGCTGTACATTGCAACAATATTATAGATATCGAATTTAAAACGTTTAATAAATTTGTATTGTATTGTAATAATTTAGAATTGTATATTATAGTTTGTTAGGTAATTAATAATATTTATTTTTGACTGAATTTTCCAATATTAATTATTTTAACAATGTAATTAATTATAAGTATATTTTTGTAGTTTTTCTATATTATATTTTGTAGTTTGATTGTATAATGCTGGCTGTTTTATATTGTATTTTATCAATTTTTATGTAAAGCGCTTTGAACAGAACCCTGAAAATGCGCTATATAAATTATTATTATTATTATTATTATTATTATTATTATTATTATTATTATTATTATTATTATTAATATTATTATTAATATTATTATTAGTATTATTATTATTATTATTATTATTATTATTATTATTATTATTATTATTATTTCAGGCTACCTTCTGGTGCTTTGTATTGATCAGATATGATTTCTTTTTTCATCTTGCCAACTGCCTTTGTGACCGTCAACACGCCGACTGAATCGATATCAATGTCGATGGGAACTGGTGGCTGGTTAAATAAAATGATGATCGCAATGAAAATTTCTTTTAATTTCAGATATTTTATCCATATAGGCCTATACAAAAAAGGTTAAGTTAAACTGATATTGCAAAATTAATAACAATAGTTGTCCTAACGGAAAGATTGGGCATGTTATCTTCATAATAGAATGTGAGAGATTTCCGTATAGTAAATGCACTATATATAAATAATGGGTGGTCTATTAGATTATATGTTAAATAATGAATTATATATACAGTATAAAAAAATTGTGTTAAATAATAAATTTACACTTGGCGCCTCATACACATCTTGAGCAGTCTCCCTATGTTTGTCGACAAAGCTTTTTTTTTTTATCAGACACTGCTGAGTCAAAAATCGGAAAGTGTAGATAATATCTGTAAGAGAACAGGGGTGGATCTAGAGATGTCTAAATGGAGGGGGGGGGGGCAGAAGGTGGTCGCGAAAGTGGGTCCGATCGAGATAACAATACTCTAAGGGGGCGGCGAAATTTCTACTTTCTTGAACTTTTAAAGTAATGTTATCAATATACAATACTATTTTCTCTGACATACGGTACCTCATTTTCATCACTGGAAAACTTCCACTTGACTTTACATGCGTTGACCTCAGCAAAAACGAATTTGGTGTCGAATGAAAGTTGGACATGTCCCGCTTTCACTGCTGCTAATGGCGCCGGGCCCAATTGAAACACACCTTAAAGAAAATTAGAAGAAAAGTGAGCATTACCAAAACTGAATGGCATAATGTGCGTACTGCCACGACCAACACAGTTCCTGGGTTTTTTAATGTTGTGCTGGTAGCTATAAAGTTCCGGAAATCTATCAACCAGGTAGTTTATAAGGTTTAAAGTTCGTTTAGTCGTGGAATTAAAAGGTGTGAGCACTTAACCAGAGGAGGAACAACTACAATCACTTTAATACGGTACTTCACCAAGCGGCAAAGACGTCTATCATAACGTGCAACCGAAGCCGTACTCAAATTACAAATCTACTGTAAGCTTATCAAAGTGCAAAGGAGAATCATTAAAAAAAATTGCAATATTACCTTCACTTCTTTCTTGTGGTGTTGCGTCTACAGCCTGCCAGCCCCCATACCCAGGAGGTAAGTCAGGCCTCGCCATCCATGCGTCAGTCCAGCAATGGAAATTCCTGCAAAAATCACAGTGTTGCAACTGTAGGTCTCGCCAAGAATGCTTTTACTTGTGACGAATAAATGTAAATGGTGCTCAATGAGGTTTAATAGTTTATGACGAATGCAATGATTGTACGTATGCCTATGAGGTGATTGTAAACCTTTAGAACAAAAATATGGATATGTCCACTAAAGCTCTGGCCACACTATCAAATTTTGTGTGATAAATTTGTGTGATTTATTTATTTTTTTCAACAGTATTCTGTGAGGGTGGTCCACCATGTGTGGGACAATATCAGGGTGGACCCACTTTACGTGTAAATTCAAATTATATCCATTGTCCAATTTTACGTAAAAAAATATGGATAATCTGGAAATATTTTCTTAAAAATTGACCCATTTTACGCAAAATTTGAGAAATCTTGACCAATTTTCTTAACAGTTGATCCATTCTACACACACACGCAAAGAGAAATCTAGACCAATTTTTAAAATGTGGACCCATTCTTTGTGGACCTAATAGAAAAATTGTGTGGGACTCTCCCAACTTTCCCAATAGCTGGCTACGGCATTGGTTGTCCATCCAGCCAGAGCTGATCAATTGGGACCCTCAATCCATACAATTAAAGAAAACAAAGAAGGAAAGATGAAAAATAAACTAGATCTTTAACTTAACAAATTCATTTAATTAAAACAGAAAAATGTAAAATCAAAATACGTTATTATAAAATAATGATTTAAGGAAAATATAAAACAAAAATTAGCGTATTAAAGAAAGAGAAACAAATTGAAATTATAAGTTAATCTAGAGAACACAATAGACCACAGCAATAGAAAATATAAATTAAAACTAATAGACCTATAAGTAATAAAATCTTGAAATGAACATATTTACAATAGAAAAATCATTTACTGTACATATAAAACAAAGAAAAATCTACATTAAAAATAAGTAAATAAAATAAAAAATGTTGCAACAAAATGAAATGGACGCAGGTAAAAATTACACAAGATTAGATTAAAGATTTTGTCATATTACACCCAAATATGTGAATATCACAAAGTGTGATAGCGTGGACGAGCTCAGATGAGCATGTACAGTAACTGTTACGCAGATGCACTTAAGTACATATATGCAGTCTTACAAGCATAATGAATATCGACAAAGGATTTGACCGCAATGAGAAACACTAACTTACATAACCAGCACAACAAATTGCTTCAATAATTATATTTGCATGCTAATTAAATGAAATTAACTATATATTTCAATTTATTAGTGGTTGGTTACGAGTACAATATTTTTAATATAAAACATATAGGCTTTCGGCTTTAATGTAATGTGTGTGCTTTTCACATTCCATGTGAAAAATGAAGAGAAGTTATTGTACGCCCTAATAGAAATACACGCAGTGTTTTTTTATTTACCAGACACTGTCGTAGTCCAACCAATCCATGGGTTTGCCGTTACTATCAAAATGATAGTCCATAATGCAGTTTCCGTCAGTGTCATGCGCTGAGGCTGTGTTGCAGATGGATCGAGCTGGTATGCCAAGTGATCGCAGAGCTACATAAATATTAGCAAACAATAACAAGATATCACACGCTTTGACAAAATTACGTTACGTTTGATAAATTAATTGTCATTAATTAAGCATAAGAACCAGCTGATTACCAGTCACATGACAGATGAAAATTTGATCTAGTTTTAAAAAGCAATAGATATACCTGTCGTTAAAACATTGGCAAAGACCCAGCATTGAGCAAATTTTACTGGTTTCTTGGTCAAAGTATACTGTTTGAAAATGGCGGCGCTTCCTGTCCAAGCAGTAGGCTCCGTCCCGCCACTGTAGTCTCCACTCCAGTTGCCAACAAGTACACCGTTGTCATCATTACTATTGATCTATTAAAATCAAGATTCAGCATAAATAATATAGTTACATCCATGTAAAAATGCCAACACAGAAAATCATTATGTGCCTATATATGGTGATAATGTGATGTCATCATGACCATATTTAGGCATGTCACAGGTCAAATACAATTTGATAGTGGACAGGGCTTAATACACTTCATTGCACACTAACCAGGGTGTAGAAAGCAGAACCCTATCCTAACAGACAGTTGTTTTGTGGGTTACTTGAACGCATGTTGATAAACTTCGATTTGTGGTGATGTTATGGTTAGATACCGTATAATCAGGAAGTTGTTATTTAAATAACAACTCCCTGGTATAATAATGCCTACCAGAGCCGACAATACTCGGGATATTTCGACAGGGCTACCAAATGATCTTGGCTTAGCTCTTTTAGTTTTAAGAAGGTCGAAAATGCATCTAAGTACATATTCCTCAAACTGAAAGAAAAGCAAAATGATAATGAGCGATGTGCGGTAAATGAGGCAGATTAAGATAAACACATAAAATGAAAGTTAAATAACTAGATCATCTGTGTCAGGGTGGATCCAGCGGGGGGGGGGGGACATGAGGGCCCGTGCCCCCCTCATTGGTCAGTCAAGTAATAAAATAAAAAAGAGGAAAAAGGAAAAAGGGTGTGTACCCATGAGTTCAGTGGCGATCCAGCATTGGGGTGAAAGGAGAGCTCGATTATTTCCCACTTATTTACACAAACCATGGTGGGGCTGAGGTGGGCGTGGCGGCGAGAACATCATATGTGCCCCCACCCCCGTCAGAAATTTTCTGGATCCTCCCCTGTGTGTAGAGATTTTAAATGTAGTATCTCATATGCAAGTTTTATAATTGTTGTTAATAATCAAATTCATAAACGACAATTTATTTCTGTTGCCAATAATGTAATCTTATAATGATTACATGCAGATCATTTGTCACAGCCATTTGTGAAGTTTTCAGAAGTTTCCTTTTTCTTCATTGCTAATTTTGCATCTGATTTCCTGCACTCCTTCTCTTTCTTTTTCCTTTTTTTTTTACAAATAAAGTTTTCTATTTCTGTGTTATTTTCCCGTCTTTGACACATTGAGACTAAACATTTAGATTTTGAGTTTGGATTGGACCAATCACAAAAATGCAGTTGAGTGCACTAGAATAAAAATCAACTTTCCTATAATAACATGAATTTTAATTTAACAAATAACATGATGACTTTACCTGTCCCAAGTACCACCTAGCTCCAGACACACTCTTTCCTGATCCGTAAAAGTACATTCCTTGGTCGTTCAAAACGTATTCCTGCTTCTGGTCATCTTCAGGGAGGTAGACGTCATCATCTGTAACAATAGATATGATAAATCTATTTTCAACTTAAAATAGCAAGATATACGTGCTTGGTAGAGGTAAACATATGATTAACACAACAACAGCTCGACCTAGTATTACATCATCCTCAATAATACAGGATTTTGTCTTTTGCTTTATACTGTATTCTTCACCTGTATTATTTTCCCCTAGAACTCTCGTTTTTGGCACATTGAAACTAAATACTTAGATTTGGAGTTTGGATTGGAGTCCATTATTTGAAATACTCACCTTTACTCCAAGGATTAAATAATACGAATATTTCATCTTTCACATTCATCTTCTGCATCTGTCCATCTTCATCCGTTACCAGCAACGCCAATCTAAATCCTCCAACCAAACTATCAGATTTAACGTAAAGTTCAACGGAAACATTGGGGCCTGTGGCGTTTACGACGTGTGTACCCCAGTCGTCAAACGTCTCTGAAATTTTACCGGCAATGGGAGAAAGAATAGCTAGGGTTCCATCGGATATCTTGGGAGTTTCGCCTATAAAATATACATGTGAATGCAATGTTACAGATTTGAAAGCATACTATTCATTTTAACTATTGGCATGTTGTTGGTTCACGAAATCATAATGATAGGCGGCATATGCGTTAACGACGACGACGACGATGATCATAATAATGAGAATGTGATGGTGATGATGATGGTAATGATGATAATGATGATGACGATGATGATGACACTGATAATGATAATGTCGGCCATTTAGCATTTAACAAACAAGGGTCAACAAAGAGTTTTCAATATTCTCTTAACCAGTAATTTACATAGGCCTAACTTGCTTTTAAATTGTCATAAAACAGATGACTTTTTGATGTTTTCAAAAGTTCAACCAAATGGCATGCTGCATTTTAATATTGTATTGAGGGGCGGATCCAGGATTTGAAGGGGGGGGGGGCTCAAAATGTTTCCAAAAAAAACCCCAAAAGAAAAAAATACTAGTTGGCGGGAAATGAGCTTTCCATCCCGACCTTTGAGGTTTCAGGTGTCTTTTAATGACTTTTAAGTTCTTTAAAATTCAAGATTTTCACCTTCTTGAAAACGGTCAGGTAAATTTTCTCATTCTCATTACAGTAAATAGACCTATTATGTGTGTATACATACAGAAAAAAAATTAGTAGTTGCATACGTATTCTTTTTTTTTTCATGAATTTACTGTAAATTTATACGCAATTGATGTGCTTCTTGATGTGAATAAACTACCATTATGTATATATTATGCATGTAAACTTCAAGGTAGGTGTAAGTTTTATCATCACAAAAGTTGAGAAATCCTCCAGTAAGTGATAACAAGGAGTCGGTAAAATCAAAACAATCTATTAAAATCATCAAGGTCAGCAAAATAATTATACAGTAAGAATACATCTATTATGCAACAACAACACATCGTGTGTTAATAACATTTGATGTCGTTGATCTTACCCCATCTCAACTCGGCAGAGAGCTTGTGTTTTCCACCATCATAATCTCTATTCAATGTAATATCAACCTTGAACGGCTGGCCTCTACGTAGTACTAATTCTTTGTTTTCATACTGCTCTGTGCGATGACCGGTTTGGTTTGTGGAGTATTGCAAGTCATAAGACTGTATCTTCAAAGAATCGTCTGCACGAAAAATATTAATTGTCCCATCAAATAATTTTAGTAGAGTATACAATTTTACTGGTTGTGAATATTGAATTTAAAACTATACAAAAAACTATTTTGTTTTGCGTCAGGAAATTTCATAGGAGCGATGTTTTGCCCTACATGACGTAAACACATCGAAATTGCAGTACCCGCTGCTACTTTGGGATCGGGTCCAACATTAGCCACCAAGCGGAAGCTCAGTGGTCTACTGGTTATGAAAACAGGCTAGAATATTTGGATGTCGTAGGTTCGATTCACACCCAAATCACAAAGTATTCAGTACGATAACATGACAGGTAGGGCAGAACAATACTTCCATTGTAATATACTGTGTCATGAATTCCTACTTGACGTCTTTCAGAGCGGCAAAAATGACTGGGAATCCCTCTTTGACATATAAAATATAAACACAGTTCAAAGTGTTGTATAAACACAACTCTCAAATAAACTTTTATTTCGTGTAAACTCCAAGAAGAATCCGATCTTCAAATTTCAAAGATTTTCTTGTATGAGTATGGAAAAATGATGATCATGAAGTGACATTATTAGAGGTGGAACAGTTTGGGAATCATAATGGAAGGACTAATGCGATCGAGTCAGCCCGGCTCCCATCATGAGATGATGTGTGGGTATGAAAAAATTATAATGATACTATACTTACTTAGTCCTTCAACCGGTGTGTTGGGAGCCACAATCACTGAAGAAGAATACGTAAAATATATAGTAAATCTGATCATCATGATATTTTCTAAAGATATGTATGAAGTTCCTAAAAATTGAAATTTCCATTTGTGATTACTTTAATACAGTAATAAAATAAAGAACTCTGAGCCAATAATTTTGTTTATAACATCGCAAAAAAAGTAAGATACTGATGAAGAATATAGTAAAAACTGGATTATACAGACAGACATTCTTTATAAGTCATGAATTATGAGGAGGAAAGCGAAAAACCACATTGAAAAGTTCGAAGTTGTTGAAACTAAGGTCATATAAAAAAATTGATGGTGTACTCGGTAGTCAAAGAGGTTGTTCTTGTTTTGTTTTGTTTTTTTTGTTTTTGTTTTTTGTTTTTTAATGTAATGAAACCACCTCCTTAATACATGGTAAGTCTTCAAATTTAACATGGGGAAGCCTCATTTTAAGTTGACAGATCTTCCCGTGTAGAGTTTGATCAGGTGTGATATAGGAGGCCGTGAGTTAATAAGATGTGTATAAGAGACAGATATATATATACTTAGCCGGGCGGGAAGAACTGACTTTTTTTATGTAGGGAGGGGACGATCAATTACTTATTTTTTTACATGGCCTTATTATAGTCAAACCACGGGAATCTAATTGCAGGGTTGGGCATAAAAATCGGTCGGAGGGCCGCACCCAAATTTTGATGTTCCAGTGAGCTTCCAAAAACCTCCAAGCACTGCTTGCATCACCTTTATTCTCAGTTTTAATGTTATTTTTTACATATTATTGGTGTCGGGCCGTAAAAAACAAGGTGTTTTCTAGCCCATTTCGATGGCGGGCTGCAAACATAGGGTTTTTAATTCATTGTCTCTGGCGGCAAAAAAAAAAATCGCTGACGGGCCACACTTTGCCCACCACAATGCCATGTGTACAAAACAGCTAAAAATCCAGAGTATATAAAGACAGTAAAGTCACTATTTGTCCCTCAATTAAGCTGAAATATGGAATTATGTTGACATCGTCAGATGAAGACTTTGATGATTAGTATGTTGTTACAGTTTTATTTTTTTTTCAGACCGGTAGGTTCCGAATCCTTGACGTTACCCGACGTACCGTAATAGGTTAATACTAATTTTAGGCTTTGAAATAAACATAATTATATAGATGACGATGACATGAGATTGCCATTTAGCGAGGTACAATATTCTAAACACTCACCAAGTCCTACATATGGGGTCATATTTGGTTGTGGTATATACAGTATTAACTTTACATTTGAGAATCATGATCAGCTAAATATATCTAGAAGGGTATTATTCATAATGAAGATATTACATAATAAATAAGCAAATAATAAACACTGACTCAGCGAGTACTAAACATACCTGTAGATTTGAAGTGTGCGCTTCCCATCACTATTTGCTAAACGCAATCTGTAATAAAGTTATAACACAAAATATAGTTAGACAGGTGATCGTAGATCCTCCACACCCTACACTGCTAATGCAAGCTGGCTCTACTAACACTATACACATGCAGTACCAATATTAGGCTGATTGCTATCCACTTGAAAATAGATATAAAAAAACACATTCAGTCCTCGCTTCTCCCCAACATTTGGTATCTCCTTACCTCATAGTACCCCACTGGGGAATCCAGTCAACTCGCCCCCAGCATACTCGCCCAACACAAATTCGCCCATTAACAAAGCTCTCCCCCCACCCCAATAAACGACTTTATAGTTCCGAAGAACTAAGTCATTGATGATGATTAACGGGTTTTTTTTATATTATGTCGGTAAATTTATTTATTTATTTATTAGATCATTAAAAAAAACTTTAAGTTTATCAATTTAACATCGATCAATATGATTATCAATTTGATAATATCAAATAGATAATTATATTAATCGATGTTATATTGATATACTTATGTATTTGAACTACTGATGAAATATTAATGAATATAAATGGTGGTTCGACACAAAAGAGAAAAAAAAACCAAACAAAACGTCATAAATTTATTCCATCCTACATCATTGAAATTAATTTATATTCATTATTATATACGGTAATTTGTCGACAGAAACAATATGCCTATAAAAAAAAACGGTCTATCATTATGGCACTGACTTAAAAGAAATAGAAAATCACTTGTTAAAAGACGAGTATGTTAGTCGGCGAGTCTGTTAGGGTGACGACTTTGATAACTCATAATTAATAATTTTATTTAACTCAAATAAGAGACTGATATACCTATCAGAATAACATAACAATTCAATTATAAGTTTCATACTTAAATACAGTAATTACTGAAAATTAAAAAAATAATTAATTACTGTAATTAAAATACATAAAAAAATAATAACACAAAAAAGAAACAAGTAATAAATAAGTCATAAATAAGTAAAAACATTATGCAAGTTGCTTAGCATAAGTGGTCGAGCGCAGTTTTGAAAGAAGAGACGGATGATGATAAACGTGTAGCAATTGGAAGTCTATTCCAGATGATTGGAATATGGAGTTTGTAGGGGCGACTGTGTATAGAGGACGACTTGGTTAGGGGGCGACGTGGTTAGGGGGCGACTTTCAGGGGGCGACTTGACAAGGGGCGACTTCTTAACCTTAGTGATTCTTAGTGATATAGGAGGCCGTGAGTTAATACTCGTGGAGACTGCCTCCTCTCAAAGTTTCAATGTGTCGGCCATATGAAACATTGAAATGGTGAAGTGTTGTGTATGAGACTACATGTTGTAGTAAATTGTTCCATGGTTTGATTACTCTGTTGTCGAAGAAAGAGTCTCTGGACACCGTTTTATTTCGGATATTTTAAGAATTGCCACGTGTATGATGAAAAAAAATTTGCAATCACACGCTGTATTTTTATTCTCTTCATTCATTGGTATAGTTAAATACTGTCTGAGAGTGCGTTACAGTTTAAAATTTGGGAGTTAAAATTTATGATTGCAAGATTAATACCGAATGATGTCAGACCCTGAAAGAACATTCAGATACTATCAGAGTGCATTACAATATCAGTAGTGAATTTAGTCAACTGTTTATCAGTCAATGTCTACCAGATATTACTGACATGGAATGACAAATACCAAGTAAGTATACGGTACTGTACTCTCATCTTTCTGGACTGTCTTTTCTTTTCTTCCTTCTTTTTCTGGGGGATAACCCCTGTGCTCCCTGGATCCGTCCCCTGATGACGATTGATTGAATTATTGTTTGGTATTGCTTATTTATTTAGGATTATATTGGCAAAGCTTCATTGAACTTAGATCAATACATTCATGATTAAGCATCATGACTGCACCTGATGAAAATGAAACCAACATAGACTGTTGGTGAAATCATGACTTCTCTACTACGATTAAGCATGCAACCTATGCATGCTGATAAAATGCAAGTACACAAATGACGCCTTGAACACCTTTGGTGGAGATGTGCGCTTTATAAATCTTTATTATTATTATTATTATGACGATTTAAATGCATAGGCCTATTAGATAATACGTTACAGGCAAACAGTATTCAAATTAAAATGTCGGCGTGCAAAATATTATTTGATTAGGCTATGTTGTCAAATAGTCACAATGTTTTGACATTGACATTGTCTAATAATTAAATACAATCTTTTCAGTCTTCACAATTATTTCTAGTACCCAACACGGTCACTTTGATAGCGAAAATAGGGCTTAATTTGTAGAAGGGGCCTCAGACATTTTTCCACCCTGGGCCCCGTCGTTACGCCACTGAGCACCAGAAGTGCAGGTTTGAATCTCACGAATCACTTTATTTGTACACACGTTAATTGACGTCTGTAAAAAGTGTGCCTGAAAATTTGCCTTGAAACTTACCCTTTGAGCACAAAGAAAACAAGAGCCTGACAGATGGTGTCAGGCTTGGCCAGGAAGCTATCACCGGGATCTAGTAGCGGAAAATCATGTAGTAGAAGATTAAATTGAATGATTTTTTACAGTTAAGTTCTCTTATAGTACCTACGAGATGAACGAGCCTTACGAACGCATGTCAATGGATGACTGTTACCATGGGGCGTTTGTTGAACAACAAAAGTGTGTGCCGATATAATATCTCAATTGCTTTGCTTCAATGATTGCGGTGAAGCAGATCTGAAATGTATTCATGGTGTTACTATGATATGAAAGAAAATATTGACTTATCTCCACCGATACAGAAAAAAACCATGAGCAACATCAAACAAAAGCATGTTATGGATTGTAATTGTATTCAATAAATGTTCGCTGGAGTCTGTGATATCTCATGAACTCTCGTAAATTTTGAATTTAAATTTGATTATTCAATGTAATATGACGAAGCAATTTCTTGTACTGTATTTTTTGCTTTAGCTAGACCAAAAATACTTACAGGTATTGTTTTCTGTAAGTGTATTATGATATTGTGACAGTCCTGAACTAGTCCTGAAAGTTGTAGTGGACACCTTGTGTAGACTAAGCATGGAGTCAAAATTCTGACTATTTTCAGGACAAATGATCGTTTTATTTCATAGCTTTATAAGACGAAATTATGATATGAAGATCATTTATATGGGAATTTGTGGAACAGAATGTGCTCGCTAAATATAGTAGGCCTACATCCGGGTCAGAACCTGTAGAAACAGATGCTGCTATACCGGTATTATACTAAGTTTTTTTTTGTTTTTTTTTGTTTTTTGTTTTTTTATAGAAAAACCAGATTTCTGTGAGGGCCGGCCGAGGTTCTGATGCAGATATTTGTAAAATATTTGACCCGACACTATAATAGTAGCGAGGAAACAGGGAGATCGATGTTACGGCGGACCGTCAAGGCAATTGAGCAAGGTATGCAGTGCATACTCTAACTAAAACAAATAAAAAATATATAGTAGTACAGTTTCTCCGTTTTATTTAGCATTTCTTAGTCAGGATCTTCTATATACACCCTAATTTTTCGAGTGGAATGCTATTCATTGGAATAGCAAAGTTTTTCAATGTTTGGCCTACTTTGGTACCTAGGATAAGTCACAGCCGGGGCCTATCGCATCATACTTAGAATTGCCGCATTTCATAGCTGGTCTTCGATATCAGCCAATCACTTATTCAGTGAGTCAATGGAAGTCAGAGCATACCCTACAACGCTTAAATTTGCTATTGTGACAACCGTGTAGTGGCGTCAGAATAGCCAATTTAACACTGGAATGGAAGCAGTGCTTCCAAGAGTATGCGCTCTTCTCACAAATCGGGACCACCACTGCCGATCGGGTATTCTATCATAAGCCAAATCTGAATCGATTAAAGTTAAATATATTTACATACATATGACCGTTATAGAAGAAACTTTGAATTATTATTATTTGAATTGAAATTTGTTAAAATACAGGAATAAGAATTCTTTTGAAGAAGACAACTATGCCGGTATTAAAAATAACATGCATTGTATTTTGACTATACATGTAGAACGCAATCTGATTCTGTATAGTAGGCCTAGTAGGCTTACGAACTTTTCCTATCACTAGCAGGCCCCAACTTCAGTGGAGGGTCTTGAAATGGAAGGGAGCTGATGGTGTTAGGAAGGTAAAGTGGGGGATCGGTGATTAGATGGGATAACTCGCAAATTAAGGTGATATGAGGTGATTTTTTATTACTTGAGCATGATTTGTGGGCGGGGGTGCGACTGGGGGATTTGCGAGTATTTTTTTCGGAGGAAGGGGGAGGACGTGTGGCCCCTTGTACATCCTAAATATGCCAATACCTAGCATACCCTGCAATTTACCCTACGGTCCGCCACTGTTAATACTCACAATATCATTTGATTTTAATCAGCTTTAATACGAATTTACAGAAAAAAGTTGAATAATGTTTATTATTATTAATTATCAGTAATTGTAATTAATAAACGATATTTAGCCTATTAATTAGGCCTAATATTGACAAGGTGTTGGTATTGATTGCAGCCAATTTAACACGAACAGTTGTAATATTTTAATAAGACAAATAGGCCTATAACTATGCCTATTCAAAAGATAGTACCAATTTTAATGTAGTACATTCAGTCATTCACTATAATTTAGTAAACATTTTTATGTCAGCAACTACGCAAACAATCTAAACATGAATGACATATTTGATATCTATAATATCATAGACCGAAATCAATTTAATTTATATAGAACAATAAATATAAATAAATGGAGAATTAATTTGAAAAAAGGGAATTTACATTACCGGTACCGGTTAGTTTTTAATCCGTCATAAATTAATGAATTAATAATAACAATATAAATGATAACAATATTGATAACTCTACACTGCTGACCTGACTCTGCGAGCATTTACTTATTTGTCACATCACATTTGATTTAAAAGTTGTTTTTAGCTATTGAACTCTTTATTGCGTAGCAGGTATACATTATTTTGTCATACAATTAGTGCAACCCTAACGCCTTTACAATGATTGCTTCTATTCGAGGCTTCCTCAAACCATTCGGTCCGATACATTCATGTGCACATGCATTTCACCTTTCTCGTAAGGACCCCCACCCCCACCAAAGCTGTACCCCATGCCTACGCTGGCTGTACAACACGAATACAGTGATGTAATAAAATTCAATCTATAATAAATCTGCTCCAAAAATTATTTGTCACATTATTTAAAAGTTATTTTTAGCCCCGTTTTAGACCTATTTGTAGGCCTAATCCTTATTTTGTACACGAAACACTAAATCTTAACATCAAAATTCCCGCGATATTTTGTGAGGCCGATCGCAGAAATCTGTGTTGAGTCGATCAACTTTATGAGTCATGCATAATTTGCTGATGACGAAATAATTATTCTGATGAATACGTAAACAATGTTCCTCGTGGCTGCTAGATTTCGTGTTTACCTTTGGACACAGAGCTCCCTGAGCAGCAACCTATTACTGTAAAGCGGATAAACTAAATACTCACAGCCTCTTTCTATAAAGACGAGTGCCTAACAGTTAGACCACAAAGACCTATAGTATAGTTGCAACCATTCTATTTTCCGTAAACAATATGGTATAATTATTCACAGACCTAATAGTCACTTATGTGAGAAAGTGCATGGGGGTTAGATCTGAGACTATGTCGTTCAATGACTTCTTGTGGAGGGGCGCCATGAGCGTTTTCTTTAAACGGATACCGGCGTTTTAAAAGTTTTCATTATTATTATTATTATTATTATTATTATTATTATTATTATTATTATTATTATATATCTTATCAATCAATTAGTTTTATTTCAGAGAATTTCAATATCAAATTACAAAACAAATGAGATTTATATTTATATAATTGCTAGAAATTCAAACATAAAAATAAAAACTACACAAATTTCTGTCAAGCAAACTATAGGCCTAGCCCTATAATATAAAAAATGTCGTTCAATGACGTCAAAAACCCAAGTGAAAAATTTTGCTCCTCTTCACACAAGATACAAGATACATTCTCTACAGCATTTGTCAACGCATAGAATTTGGTTTCCATGTGTTTCCACAGTGAATAAAAATAAAATGTTAAACTACAACACATGAAAAGATCATGCGAAAGACAAGTAGGTCTAACTATGAAGAAACATTGCAATACAGAATATTTCAATAGTGGGCCTATGTTTATTTACATGAAAATAACTGTTATAATCGTCCAAGATGTAAAATGACATCAGGTACGCTTTGGATTTGATTTGTTTTTTGTGAAACACACACAAAGGATAATACAGGTAAGTCTAAAGACTTATTTCTGCTTGGATCCTTATTGGTGATTAGGGTAGTACACCTGAGAAATAACCGCCTGCTACTTTTTTAAAGAGTGTATCCTATGGCCTATGCGCTATTTAACGTGCATAATATTACACGTGTCTGGGTGAGGGGCGCTATTGTACATGCAGCGAAATGAACAACAAACTTTGTTAGAGACTGTTAGAGAAGACAACAACTGAATGATGAGTTAGTCATTAAAAAATGAAAAATAGGTCTAAATCGAAACATTGAGAGTGTTCTGTTTGTAGAAACAAATGCATAAATTGTTTATGACAGCAAAGCATTATATACTACAATAATAATTTGTACATTCACTTAACGTAACATTTCTCTTTCATTTATGTTCAACTTTTAAAGATATAGATAAATAATTATTTTGGAAGAGAGGCGAAATCCCAGAAAGCAAAAGCTTGCGAAGGGCTGCCTGAATCAAAAAGAAAAAAAACATTCTATTGTAGAGATGCTGTTACAAATTAAATTTTCATAAAATGAAAACCGTTATAAAATATCAGTGATACACATTTAAAAAAAATGTATTTTTTAAGAATCTCTTCGCCACTTGTGTTGCTAGTTGAAAAATGATCAGATCACTGTATGATTATGTCTGCTTCTCCAGTGACTCCAATTAACTCAGTGGACGAGAATGACATAATGATGTCCCGCTCACCCGTTTTTTGCTTAGCCACTAACTTCACTTCATATTCAACAGTCTCATTAGCCTTTATAATTCTGAAATGAGAAAATATCGTTAGCAACATCCAGAACATCTGTAGTTTTTTATCAAGATGCAAACAGCTGTATTCTAAATTAATTTAACTCGTTACATCATCAGCGATGATACGTCTATTAATAGCCTGGAGATGTTGCTAAAATTACAATCAGTATTTCTAAATCAAATGTCAGCACGCACGTTTTTGTTTGATATTTTAAAGTTGGTTCGACTATATTGTGCACGTTTTTGCTTGATATTTTAAAGTTGGTTCGACTATATTGTGCACGTTTTTGTTTGATATTTTAAAGTTGGTTCGACTATATTGTGCACGTTTTTGTTTGATATTTTAAAATTGGTTCAACTATATTGTGCACGTTTTTTAAGCACGTCAAGTCATCACACTTCATAGGCCTCATAATTTATCAGACTCATGAAATTCCCAATAGGCTCTAAACCAAAGATACTAGAAATACAAGATAGAGTTCTCGCGTTGTAAAAATGAGGCGGAAGTCGTGCCCAACGTAGGCGGCGCCATTCTTTTTAACCATGCAAATTTCCTATACTTCGTGCCCAACGTACAGGGCGCCCTTCTGTTGCTAAGTATATCCAGACGCAAAAGGCGCCCTTCCTTTTCCACTAATGAAGGAAAACCTTTTCACTAAGAGTGCGTCCGGCCATGCGATTTTGCGCTGTATTGTTGTTTTATTCTTTACTGATTCATGATTATGCTTTAATTGTTTTGTGTATTATTTGGATAATAGCAACGATTTCTACCGCCACCAAGGAGGTTATGTATTCACCGATGTCACTGTCTGGGTGTCTATTCCAGTTTGTTTTTATATCTAGTATCTTTATTGAGAATTGATAATAAAATACGCGACGACTTGGTAACGAAAGTTTGGCACAAGTTTTTTAGATCCAGCTGTAGGGGGCGCCCCATTTTTCGTATTCCCACCATGCATTTTGGTGGAACACGGTGGAACACTTTTTTTGTGTGGAGAACTCTATCTTGTATTTCTAGTATCTTTGCTCTAAACGATAAAATATATGACTTTTTGACTGTATGTTGTTCTTAATGCAGGTATTTCTCCAATTAAAGACCACTTTTCTGTGGTCCTGTTTGAATTCATATCTTTTAACATTAAATTTCCCTCTAATTAAAGACCACTATAAAATAAATAGTGGTTTTATAATGCTATTTTTAAAAAATTTTGTAGTAGATTACCACACATAAAGATATTAGCCAATGCATATCATAAGATGATGTTTTTTTTGTGTTTTTGTGTATAGGCCTAATGAGTAACGATAATGTTGGTGATGTTCGATTTGATTTGAATTTATTCGGAAGCACTGAACACTAATAAACATTACAATAGAAAAACATGAATTAAAACGTACGGAAGTCTTCCATAGATAACCCAAACCAGAACCCTTCGGGTGCGTACGCTCCTTTGTACGTAAAAAATCAATGTACATTTGTGAATTGCAATAACTTATTTTATCTTTTTGAATAATGATTGTGTAAGGTAATACAGTATTTTCCTTTTCAGTCAAAAAAATCAGAGGCGGATCCAGAAATTTATGAAAGGGGGGGGGGGGGGGGTTCTGAGAAGTGCAGGGATGTCGTTATGCAGGGCGGAGGTGGGCGGCGGCGCCCACTCTTGACGTCTTGCACCCATCCTAAAGCTATTTTCAAGGCCTTCTGCCCAGCCTCATACAAAACAAGTTTTTGCTCCATAAACCGTATTTTCCGGTGAATAAGCCGCAAATTTTATACGCGATTTTCTCCTCGAAGTTTGGGGTGCGGCCTATACACCGGACGTTAACCTACTCCCAAAAAGTTCAGATCGTGAACCGCAGCGAAAATCAGGCGCCGTCTGTCTAGCTTGGGCCCATGCTCCTATATAATTAGCCTAGCCTTTGTTGAAGGGCTAGTACTGTATTTGTAATTATACTCACTATACAGTGCTGTACTGTGATTCCTACTACATTTTCTACGACAATCAAGCAATGGTTTGGGTTGTTTACATAATTATTTTCATAGTTACTTTCACTCAAACAATTTTGAAACACGTTTTATTCGAATTCGCTTCGCTCAAAACAATAAATAACCTTCTTTTCGGCAGTGGGGGGTCCTAGAGGTCACGTGAGCAGCTTTCATTTATGATGTCGCAACAAAACACACGTGGGCTGTTGAAACTTTCTGTTCGACGTCTGGTTCCCGTTGGCTTGTACCGTTATAGAAAGAATACTGATACCGCTATATTTCAGAATAAAAGCTTGTGAAATTAATTTATGCAATAAAAACACGAGTTTTCTTGAAGTAGTAATAATTATTTTACTGGAAATTAATTAAAGAAAGGCATACGTTCGTCCGTCTATCACATGCCACCATCACATGTTGTATATGTGTATAGACGGTCAGTCCATCACATGCTGCAACTTTATGTGTCCATAATTTTAAGGTTCTCGCCCACCAGGGACTGTCCATCAGATGCTGTATTTTCTAACCATTATTTTCCCAAACATCATTTGATGAAGCTATGCTGTAAATTTATGTGTCCAAAATTGTAAGGTTCTCCACCACCCGGGACTGTCCATCAGATGCTGTATTTTCTGACCATTATTTTCCCAAACATCATTTGATGTCCTTCCCCCTCCCCTCCCCCCGCCAACCCTTAGGTTCGTCCGTCCATCACATGCTGCCCCCGCCAACACTTATGTTCGTCCGACCATCACATGCTGCATATTTATGTGTCCAGAATTTTTAACCATCATTTCTTGGAAAATAATTCCACAAATGTTGATTTTTATTGCTTGACGGTAGGCTGGTGGTAGGCCAAGAAACCTACTTTACGTAACGGTATAGTATATCAAGATGTGTCTAGGCCTACACCAGGTCCGACGGTGTCGCCCAAAGAGAAGCCTACATTACGTATGTGTCTAGGCCTAGCTACACCAGGTCCGTCAATCTTAGCCGTTAAAGTATACTAAAACACTAATAGAACACACAGAACACCTTCAAAAAATAGCACAGGTATGGCCTAAGTGGCCGATATGCCACAACTATCTCAGCTTGCTCAATGTTTACTGACAGTCGCGAAAACAACATAAAAAACTTTTCTAGGCAGCTCGCGACAGAAACAAAATGTCGGGAAAGTTTGACCCGACGCATGCGCAAATAAAATGTTCGACTAAAAAACGACTCAAAACTGGTGGTAGGGGTATATGTTTTATCGCCTAGAGCTTACATTTAACCGAAAAAACAAACATTTCTTGCACAATTGCATGTCCACCAGCAACTATCGAGCACAATGTATACCTGCCGCGATGCACCGTTTGGGAGCCTATTTATTTACAAATATGCTGACCTCTTTTGGTGTCACATCTCATACACACATTTTACATGTGAACCATTACATTAGTTCCATGTGACCTATGGTCACAAAGGAACTAAAAAGGCGGTAAATATCATTGCAGCTTATTTCCATTGGGGTCCATTAAATACACACAAGTACAATAAAAACATAGAATAGGTAAAACAATAAAACATACAAAATATACTAAAACATATGCATAAAATTTGATAGTCTGCTTTAAGTAGATCAGATTACCACACATTTCCTACCTGAACATTTCTCGTTTGTAGCCAGCAAGGGCTGAACCCTCGGTACTAAAGAAACATTTCTGTAATTTATATGGTAACGGGTTGGTGAATTCCGCCTTGGCATAAAATGTTGATCCCTTGTGTACCGTTGATGGTACCTAAAATCGATAGAGTAGTCAGATTTATCAACTAACATTTCAATAGAATTAACAATAATGACAATTAAACAACAACACTATGCGTGATGATGAAGATGGTTTTCAGTAAACTGTATCCTTCCCATATAGATCCCTGGTTCTTAATAGGCGGCACGCGGACCAAAAAAAAAAAAACAAACTCAAAACATATTAAAAATTTATCATAGACATGTTACAATTTTAATGAGTGCAGGTAACTGATACCTGATTTGAGACCCATGGTAGGTGGCCTGTTAAATCATATAGGCAAATACAATTAAATTTAGGCTATTTTTGCAATACATCTTTTGGGTTTCATCGTAAATAACATTCGTACTTAATTAGGCTATGTTCTCACACGGCTTCTAAGCTAACGGTTAGCAGGATCCGGATCCTGCTAACCGTTAGCTGCTGTGCGTCCATACGAGAAAATCCCGATCCGGATACCAAAAATATGATGATCGAATCACTGGCCAATAAGAAACTGGAAGTTATAAAAGCGTACGTGTGATTAGTTAATAATAAAAACGCGCTCAACTTGCTAACTGATAGCGGTATCCGAATACTGCTATCGGTTAGCGCTAACCGATCGGGCGTTCTCACGCAGGTGCTAACGGTTAGCACTAACGGTTAACTCCCGATCCGGATACTAGGGCTCTCATGAGAACCAGGCTTTAGTCGCAAAAGATAGCGTAAATGTACGTAAACACGTGCGTTCGTGTGACAACACATGCGGTTGTTGGACACGCGAATATTCCTGGCACTGTTCTGATTGGTCAGTTGTTAAGAGGTTGATTGACACGCAGGAAAGGTCCACTGTGACCTAACCAAAGGTATAGGATGTCATAAAATTGACATTTTACTGGATACACACCGTGATCTTAATGTTCGGTTTCTTCAGTTTAAAATCGTATCCTTTGATGATTGTTTGGTTAGTTTCTTTGACAACCACTGTGACGTCGAATCGAATGTTGGCTTGGTCAACAAGATCACGCAGGTAATCAGAGGCTAGCAGCTTCAGACGATATTCACTTTCTAGAGAATAAAAAATGTGACATTTCATTGTTAATTTTATTTCTATTGAAGGACTCGAAATATTAAGTGACGACTACAAAACGATTGGAGTACCTCACAAAGAGTTAAAATTTTGCACAATGCAATGATTATAAATGCAGTAACCATATAGCTTAGTAAGCCTGCAGCGAAACGATACATTTCCAAAAGCCTTTTATGACCCTTCAGAATTGGATGGAATGGATTTTATATGCAAGGAAAACATTCTTGACTATGCAAATAGCGGTTCGGAGTTATACAAAAGCCGAGTGATTGACACAGAGCGTAAAATTGTTTTGGGTCAAAGCAGAAACTGAAACTATTATGTCTTAAGTTGAAAGATATTCACGGTAATCGTCGGAGTAAGCCTTCACCAACACTATATGGACGGTAGGCCTGTCACAAAATTATATGCGCATTTAAATAGGTTGGATAGGGCCATTTTTCAAAACAGATTGTTACACCTTTTCTGAAAATGTAAAGAGAAGAGCATTAAAATAAACCTATACCGTGGAGCACCTACCTCCGAGAGGCTTTACAGCTACGTCCTTTAGTTCATATATCACTTCTTTTGCACGAACACCCGTGTAGTACACAGAGGTCCCTGCAATACTCAATACGCAATTGCGATCTTCTGAGCTTGTGTTGCGCACAAGCAGAACCAGTTCAAAGTCGTTACCAATCATAATGTCGTCTGGCAGAGTGCCTACAATCTCCACATCTTTCTTTGTCTCAACAACGAGTTTCTTGACTGAATTGATGTATTTTTCGACAGTATATATAGCAAGCAATTCCTCAGTTGAACCTAGGATGAAAAATCAAGATTTTGTGGCATTTTCAAATTTAATATAAATCAGGATAAGTATTCTTATATAGGTCAATGTTATTGATATCACTAAAATTGACCAGTCAGTAGGTGTACTTCAGGAAGTAAGAGGTTACCTTCTGGTGGTTTGTATTGATCCGATATGATTTCTTTTTCCATCTTGCCAACTGCCTTGGTGACCGTCAACACGCCGACCGAATCGGTATCAATATGAATAGGAACTGGTGGCTAGTTAAATAAAATGATAATGGCAATAAAAATTTATAATCAATCAATCAATCAATCAATCAATTTCTTTTGATTTCAGATATTTTATCCATGTTAAACTGATATTCAACTTCAATAACATTAGTTGCTCTAACGAAAACCTTGGTCATGTTAACTTCAGAATAGAAAGCGAGAAAAGTCCGTGGAAGATCTTGATGTTAGAAACCTTGATAGAGGCAGCCCAATGCTCGTTAGAGGATCGTATTCGAAAAATACTGCTGCTGCTACAAGCATACATAATTGCCTCTGATAGAGTGAAATGGAAGTTTTTGGTTCGTGGAGCCAACGTCTAGTAGGGTGAAATAGGAGGTGTAGAAGATCATCATTGTGTAGCCATATCTGGTCAAGCATGCAAATCATGTGCAATCTTCCTGTGTGTCGGACGAAGACACTGTTGAGTCAGACAAAATATTAAAGGGGAATACCCGGCTTTAGTATCGTTAAGGCATCAGAAAGTGTTGATAATGTGAGCAACAGGTAGTGACGTAGATCATGGTCAAGAGCGTTTTGATATATTTTTGTATTCTCATTTAGAGACCACAGTGGAAATAGGTTGCTTTTTGTACTTTTCTGTGTTTTTATCCTTGTGTGTTTTTACTTATAATTACTTCAGAACAAATAAATAATTTTAAAAAAATAGAAAAAATAGGGCCTAACAGGCTTTAGGAGTTTCTTTGGGGATTTTTTAAGATGTCGGACAAAGAATATCGCAATCTATCACTCATTTTTACTAGCAGTGGAATACACTTAAAAAACAGCTTTAATAGCATGGAAATTACTATTTACCTCTGTCATTTATAATTGAAGAAAAAAGCTTCAAAACAAAACTATGAAAGGTAACTATTTCTCCTGCACTTTTTAAACCAATTTTATCAATATACAGTACTATTTTTCTGACATACCTCGTTTTCAACACCGGAAAACTTCCAATTCACTTTACATGCGTTGACCTCAGCAAAAACGAATTTGGTGTCGAATAAAAGTTGGACATGTCCCGCTTTCACTGCTGCTAATGGCGCCGGGCCCAACTGAAACACACCTTAAAACAGATTAGAAGAAAAGTAATAAAAAATAAATAAAACAGCATACGCACTGTCTCGGGAATTGCGCAAACACAGTTTCGGTATTTTTAAATATTGTTATGATGTAGGTAAAAAGTTGGGACTCTAAAAACCTGGTCGTGGAATTAAAAGGTGTAAGCAACTTCACCGGAGGCACAATTCCAATCACTTTAATACCAAGCGGCAAAACCTTCTATAAAAACGTGCAAACGAATCCGTACTCAAATTACAAATCTACTGTAAGTTTATCAACGTGCGAAGGAGAATCACTGAAAAAAATGCAGTACCACCTTCGCTTCTTTCTTGTGGTGTTGCGTCTACAGCCTGCCAGCCCCCGTACCCAGGAGGTAAGTCAGGCCTCGCCATCCATGCGTCAGTCCAGCAATGGAAATTCCTGTCAAAGACACAGACTTGCAACTGTAGTTCTCAACAAGAAACATAATTTTACTTGTGACAATGGATACGACTAATATAGATTAGCATGTAAGTATCACGTTGATGCACATAGAAATGCATATGTAGTCCTATCGCCTAAATATGGATAAAGAATTTGATTGCAATGAGAAACACTAATTTTCATAACGAATTGCTTCAATAATGTTTGTATGCTACTGGTAATTACATAAATCTTATAATGGTTACGAATACAAATGCCATATTCTAAAAGATAGGCCTATATACATTCAGCTTTAATGTACGGTATTTTTACATTCCATAGAACATTAAGACAAATTATTGTACGCCTTACAGTAGAAATAGACAGATATTTTTTTTCCATTTACCAGACACTGTCGGAGTCCAACCAATCCATGGGTTTGCCGTTACTATCAAAATGGTAGTCCATAATGCAGTTTCCGTCAGTGTCATGGGCTGAAGCTGTGTTGCAGATGGATCGAGCTGGTATGCCAAGCGATCGCAGAGCTACATGATATAGAAATTAGCAAACAATAATGAAATATATTGACAAATATTATGCTTAGCCTATTTTTAAAAACATTATTTTGATTATATTATTTATCAATTCATTAGAAATTACTTTAAATTTACTTTGAATTTAATTCAATATATGCCGAAAGGAAACCAGTTGATTAAGAGTCACATGACCGATGTAAATCCCGGAACCATGGTAAATTTTATTTAGATTTAAGCTCTGTCCAGACTATCAATTTTCTTTGACAAAAAATATGCCCATATATAGTCATGATGTGCCTATATATGGTGATGATGTGATGTCATCATGACCATACTTAGGCATGTCACATGTTTTTGGCAAATAAAATTTGATGGTCTGGACAAAGGACTTTAAAAAGCAATAGACATACCTGTCGTTAAAACATTGGCAAAGACCCAGCATTGAGCAAATTTTACTGGTTTCTTGGTCAAAGTATACTGTTTGAAAATGGCGGCGCTTCCTGTCCAAGCAGTAGGCTCCGTCCCGCCACTGTAGTCTCCACTCCAGTTGCCAACAAGTACACCGTTGTCATCATTACTATTGATCTATTAAAATCAAGATTCAGCATAAATAATATAGTTACATCCATGTAAAAATGCCAACACAGAAAATCATTATGTGCCTATATATGGTGATAATGTGATGTCATCATGACCATATTTAAGCTTGTTATTTGCTTTTGTCAAATAATTGATAATCTAGACAGGGATATGGGAGGCCTACGCGCACGAACTGTGATTACGAAATATCCGTTCAGTTTGTATATATTATGGTTAGAACCGTATTGCTTACCAGAGCAGACAATACACGGGATATTTCGACAGGGCTACCAAATGATCTTGGCTTAGCTCTTTTAGTCTGAAGAAGTTCGAAAATGCATCTAAGAACATATTCCTCAAACTGAAAGAAAAGCAAAATTATTATGAGCGATGCGGTAAATGAGGCAGATTAGGATGAACACATAAATAAAATTATAGTTCAAATGAGTCAAAACTGCCACCTTAATAATTAACTAGATAGGTTGTGTAAACAAAGTTCCTCACATGTAATTTTTATATTTGTTGTTTTATGTCAACAAATCGAATCTAAAGTAATAATCAAACTTATTAACAGCAATCTATTTCTGTTGCCAATAATGTAATCTTAGATTCTCGTGATTACATGCAGATCGTTTGTTACAACCATTCACAGAATCTGTGAAGTTTTCAGACACCTCCTTCCTGTTCATTGATACTTTTGTATCTGATTTTCCGTATCATTTTTTCCCTTTTTTTTTACAAATAGATTTTTCTCCTTCTGCGTTATTTTTTGCACAGCACTCTCGCCTTTGGCACCTTAAGACTAAACATGTAGAATTGTAGTTGGGATTGGACCAACCACAAACGTACGCAGTTGAGTGCACTAGAATAAAAATCAATTACTCTATAATAACATGAAAGATTTATTTAACAAATAACATGATGACCACCTGTCCCAAGTACCACCTAGCTCCATACACATTTTTTCCTGATCCGTAAAAGTACATTCCTTGGTCGTTCAAAACGTATTCCTGCTTCTGGTCATCTTCGGGGAGGTAGACGTCATCATCTGTAACGATGGATACGATAATCTATTTTCGACTTAAAATAGCAAGGAACGTGCTCGATAGAGGTAAACGTATGATTAACATCATGATAAATATGTTGTATGTAATAATTCCAATATTTCTGTTGCATCTGTTTCTCGGTTGGTTCTGGAGAGCTCCCAGACAGATGGGCATTACCCTCTTTCGAGCAATTAAGTAACCAGGATCAACTCAAAAAATTCGCACCCACCCAATTAAAATCCTGCGTATTTTTGTATTTTTATGTTTGTTCTTGTAAATTTGGTATTTGGTTAAATAAATGATAGGAACACAGCAACAGATTGGCCTAGTATTACATAATCCTCAATAATAAAGGATTTGTTTCTCATGACCAGAACAACTCCAAAAACTCATAATGAAACTTAGTTATGTAGAGCATCATGTGTGTGTGTGTGTGTTTGTCTTGTGAAGAGATATACCACTTTTATTTTCACTTTATTCATATAAAAAAAACACATCAATATAAAAATTGGTCACACGTCGTGGCTCGAAAGCCAAATTGCACGTGAGCCTCACAATTTCAGAAATAATAAAGGCAATATATAAAAAAATTAATTATGAATATAAATAAAAAAATTGAGACAATGATAAAGTAAGGATAAATTATTAATATAAGAATTGGGAAAAATAAACAATATAAAAAAAACCATTAAAAAGAGAACGTAGCCCTAGTTAAAAAAGAAAACAAAGAAACACAATGCACCACACAATAAAATGCCCTCTGTATATACCACTTTTTCATATGCTTGGCCTTCGACCTAAACCAATAAATAAAAATTAAAATACTATGTTGCTGTTTTTTTGTTGTTACTGCTGTAGCTAGCTGCTGGTCTACTACCTCTGCTACTGATATGCTCTCCATTAGTAACATATAAAACAATGCGTTGCTACGCTCGAATACTCTTTCTGTAGCAATATTAAATGCACATCAACAGATTTGAAAACTATGATGACGTTATAATTTATTCATCTTGCGTTGCGGAGCACGTTGATTTCAGGATTTTACGTGCTCAACGTACGTTAATTACGGGTTTGCGCATGCGTATTTCGATTTGTTTACAAAAGGGACGGAGCTATCGCGCTGCATGTCGGGTACTAACGTTAAAGTTAAGGTTAACGTCGTGCGGCGAAAACTGCCTATTGGTGAACGTTGTGATTCAGCATGTCTAAAAATTACGTGAACACAGCAATGTTATTTTAAGTAAAACATTTCGTTATTATTACATACTTATGTTCCTACGAAACGTTTTGAATACCACCGTAACTATAAAACGTCAAATTGATAGCTGTATATCACATGTAACCAACACTATAGGTAATTATAAAAAATATACTTAACCACAAGACAATATAGGTCAACCAGTTTCATTGACAACAATATTTACAATTTCATTACTCATAAATGGTTGAAAACGAATCTATTTTTTTAGTTAAATAATGCGGATAAATCTGTTCGTAATCAGTACCATACTAATTATATGTAGGCCTAGACTCTCTTTACCTAAAGGTCCATTGATGTAAAATTCTCACCTTTACTCCAAGGATTAAATAACACAAATATTTCATCTTTAACATTCATCTTCTGCTTGAGTCCATTTTCGTCCGTTACCATGAGCACCAGTCTAAATCGTCCAACCAAACTATCCGATTTAACGTAAAGGGCAACGGAAACATTGGGGCCCGTGGCGTTTACGACGTGTGTACCCCAGTCGTCAAATGTTGCTGAAATTGGACCGGCAATTGGAGAAAGAATAGCTAAGGTTCCATCGGATATCTTGGGAGTTGCACCTATAAAATATACATGTGAATGCAATATTACACTTTTTGGAAAGTCTATACTATTGTAACTATAGGCATGTTGTTGGTCACAAACTTAAAAGAAGTCATAATGATAGGCAGCATTGGTGGTGACGACGACGACGATAATGATTATGATGATGATGGTGGTGATGATGATAATGATGATGATATTGTCGGAAATTTGGCATTTAACAAACAAGGGTCAACAAGAGTTTGTTAACCTCGAGTTAGCCAGTAATTTACAAAGGCCTATTTTCAATAAAGATGTTTGCCAAATGGCATGCTGCAGTTTAAAAGTGTATTCAGGGGCTGATCATTGATTTGAAGGAGTGGGGTTAAAAATGTTTGCAAAAAACCTCCAAAAAGAAAGGTGGGGGGGGGGGTCCATGGGTCCTCCCACTTGAAAATTTTGATTTTGAAATGAATATTTTTTTTTTACATTACTTAACAGAGAGGGGTTCGTCCGAACCCCATGAACCCCACTGCATCCGCAACTGGTATTGTGATCTTTGCTATAGGTTTGCTCAGTTCTCTTATGCATTTTAGAACTAATAATAAATGTTTAGTACATTTTATTGTAAAGTCATACGCAATTCAGCTCTTGCTGCAATATGCTTATTGATATGAATAATACCATAATGTATATACAGGTACACTCCAAGGTAGCTGTAAATTTTATTGATTGCATTATCACAAAAGTTGCAAAATCTTGTCTCGGTAAAAATCAAAACAATCTAGGCCTATTCATATCCATCGGGCCAGCAAAAAAATTACGGTATACAATAGGCCACATCAAATGCAATAACAACACATAGTATGTTAATAATAACATCTAATATTATTGATCTTACCCCATTTCAACTCGGCAGACAGCTTGTGTTTTTCGCCATTATAATCTCTATTCAATGTAATATCAACCTTGAACTGCTGGCCTCTCCGTAGTACTAATTCTTTGTTTTCATACTGCTCTGTGCGATGACCTGTTTGGTTCGTGGAGTATTGCAAGTCGTAAGACTGTATCTTCACAGAACCGTCTGCACGTAAAATATTAATTATACCATCAAATAATTTTAATAGAGCATACAAATTTATTGGTTGTGAATATTGAATTTAAAACTATATAAAATATTATATAAAACATTGTAATATGTTCCGATGTTGTTTATATTTTGTTTTGCGTCAGAAAATTTCGAGTGATGTTTTGCCCTACATAACGTGAAAAAACAAAAAAACACATCGAAATAGCATTGCAGTACCCACTGCTAGTTGGGATCGGATTGAACATTAGTCGAGCGCAAACTCAGTCAGGTGGTTATATTACACCAGACTAGAATAGGCCTATCTAGAGGTCGTAGGTTCCATTCACACCCAAATCACAAAGTATTATTGGGAACGTACTGAGTATTCATTACGATAGCATGACATGAAGGGCAAAACAATCCTCCCATTTGTAATATACAATACCAGTATAATATTATTAATAATTATATTATTGTTATAATAATATTTTATATCACTATTGATGGTGTTAACGCTATGTTTAAAACAACAACGATTGAGAAGTAGACCTAACATTTGGTGTTGTATAGTAGGGCCTATAAAGTTAAATATGGAGGAGACAAAATACTCTATTTAGATGTATCCAAGTGAATAAGAACGTTACAACATGCTGTACCTGTACCAGAACTCATCAGAGCGACAGGCTCTACCATAGGTTCCTCAGTCTCCCAATACCACCATGTTGGGGGCTGATCAACTGTTCTACCTGTCATCTCCTCAGTTTTTACTCCAAGCAGCTTATCCGGAACTCACTGGAATGCTGGTGGAATCACAAAACATCCGAATCGTTTGATTCCAGAGCAGACTAGAAACTCGATTTGGACGACCTTCGTGTTTATTGTAAATTGCATATCCGGGTAAGCCCTGTTTCCGCTCCAATTGCTCTACGATTGTGCTGACATTTCAAATCCTGGTATTTGGCTACATTCACAATGGATTCACTTTCAAAATAGATAACATAGGCCTAATAGAAATGGATTAAAAATTTGTGCGGCTCCTAATTTTGTGATCAGGTTTAAAAAAAAATCTTTCTCACACTTCAAGGTACTGTACTGTAAATCTATATAGCACCAAATACAATGTTGCTCCAACGGCGCTTTAATTAATGATGATCGAATTCCACATTGCATTTGTAAACTTTCAGCTTCCAAGATGTATTTTTTGGGAAGGGAGTACCAATATAATGTTCGTGCACTAATTGAGAAATCTCTCAGGAGACGTGGAGCAATGCCCGATTTTTGGGATGACTGGTTATTGATAATAGCGGATCCGAGTGGGGGAGGGGTGGGGCGGTTGCAACGGAGGATCCCCCACCCCCACAAAAAGGACAAAACAGAGAGAATTAAAGAATCAAGAAAAGAATGAAAAAAGGGAGGAGCAAGGCACTCCAAAACAAGTTAATCCCAGACATTATTATTTGAAGATGGTTGGGAAACATAAGCATTTAAATTTAGGTCAATCTGCAAGTGTTTTTTTTTTTATTATCACAGAATTAGCAAATGTTAGCTCAACTTAATGTTCGATTTCTAAAGAGCGTAATTGTTCAGGTTCATACTATATAGCCATGAGGAAGAATAAAACAAAAATATTAGGATAACATGCGATTTCCCTTGTGTTCTTGGTGGGTGAGCTACTTTAATCCACGCATTTCCTTCCCAACCAGGTGCGTACATGTGGTTACCTGGTACCACGGAGGTGTGCTGGTAGTAACGCTCATTCAGCTGGAATATTACGCAATTCTTCACAGAGAGCCGAGTTTGGGATAAAAAGATTTATGGTTTAGGTTTTTCTGTCAATTTTATTGTAATATTACATATATTCCTAATAATTAATTCACTGTTTATGTGGAATTGCACTTAATAATTTAATCTGTAATTGATGTTAGAGTAAATGAAATTTGATCATGTTCGCTGTTTTATTATTATTAATAAATAATAATAATAATGATAATAATAATAATAATAATAATAATAATAATAATAATAATAATAACAATAATAATGGTAAGAACACAATCTTTCAATTTTTATTAATTTTATTAATAATAAATAAAATAATTAATAATTAATAAAAATAATAAAAAAATAATAATAACAACAATAATGGTAAGAACACAAGCTGAAGTAAGTCTATATTATATATTGTTCTGATCTTGTGTTTTATCACTAAGTTTTCGTCTTTCCTTTGTAATAATTTCATAGAAAGCAATAACTTATCAACTCATCCAGTCATTGTGGTATTGGTTTATGTATAGAATATTTAGAATTGACAGTAATTAATAACAATGAACCTCTCCTTAAAGTCCTGCTACTTGGATGCTATTGGTAAAGTCCCACAAAACACATATCGTGACACAAGCACGATACTGCACAGTACCGGTAATACATTAATAGTTACTTTGCTAAAATTCAATACCTGTGTATTTAAGATAATTTTCACAACATAAATGTATTTTATGAATACGAATGATGTCAATCGAAACTATGTATTTACTGAAACAGTATGTGACAAGTAGGGCCTCAGTACGTTTTATTAAATTTGACATGGTTTTGCTTTGCTTCCCAAAGGAGGGGCTGAATGCCTCGGCGGTTGATGAGGGGGGGGGGGTTTAAACGAGTGAAGCAGGCATTTTGACCAAAAGCAACCTGGGACTCTTAGTGGGGTTCACCGACAGTGGGGCAACGGCCTTGAGCTCTCACTGGCTAAAGCCATGGACATCGCAGCATCAAGGGGGCCCAGCAAATTCGAATAATTTTTTTTTACAAAAATATCCAAGGCCCTTTTCCAAGCATGGGCCTGGGATATTTACAATATTACAGTATAACATTGCAGGTTGAGATCCATGGCTAAATGGAAAAAAAGGATTAGCCATTATCTTGTGATTAATCTCTTTAGTTATCACACCTACACATAAGCAATCCTTGACTGATGCACATTTATTTTATAATGTTATGCCATAAGTTATATAGTGGGCTACGAATAATGTTGTATTTCATGATTTTAAACATTTTCACGCTTTTCCCGTTAAAATTGGATAAGTACTTACGAAGATATGATATTAATCACTGTTTTAATTAAGGTTTTAGTCAGTCATCATCATCATCATCATCATCATCATCATCATCATCATAAGGAATGGCGCATTAGAAAAAGAATGATTTTTTTATACCACTCCAGGCGGCGTTCTATTGCAGTTTGAGATCCATGGCTAAATGGAAAAAAAAAGATCAGCCTTTATCTTGTGATTAATCTCTTAGGTTTTCACACCTACACATAAGCAATCCTTGACTGATGCACATTTATTTTATAATGTTATGCCATAAGTTATATAGTGGGCTACGAATAATGTTGTATTTCATGATTTTGAACATTTTCACGCTTTTCCCGTTAAAATTGGATAAGTACTTACGAAGATATGATATTAATCACTGTTTTTAATAAGGTTTTAGTCAGCTATTCAATATAATACCTTACACCCCTCTGCCGATAGCCATTCAAGCAAAGCATTACCTATCAGCCAGAGATGAATAGAAACGCATTTGTCAAGAAGATGCAATTGTTTGTGGGCCTAGGCTATATTACTATAATTATAAGGAGGTGTTCTGATGGACATTTTTAGGGACCTATGTATTATACACTTTACAATTATAATAATTATTATTATTATTATTATTATTATTATTATTATTATTATTAATATTATTATTATTAGCATATATTATTAGTATATAGCAAGCAAGAGAAACGTTTTATTTTTTTATTTATTTATTGTATAGTCTTCTGTGTACCTATAGTACCCATGTTGAGGTTTTTTTTTTTTTTTGGTTTTTTTTTTGGTTTTTTTGTGCATGTTAGGATTGTATATGTTATTGTCATTTTCTTTTTATGACCCTAATATGCTCATCTGTGTTTTTTTTTTTCTATTTGTAGCAAACTTTACATTGTTGTCACAGTAAATCATTGAATATAGCTTGCTATCAGTTAATCATGTCCCAATGTCTAGTTGTGGGAATGGTCAACAAACAATTATTTAACATTAATTTGGTAGTTAATTCCAGTAAACAATGTATTCACAAATAACTTTAGAAGGCTGTTTAATTGAAATAATGTTTATCTACTTTCACTCAATAGACTTTTTGAAATGTAGCAAGATCTACACTATGGTTTTCTGCAGTTTCATTTCCGTGTTGATAGGCGGCCTAGTGTAAAACAGGGCACACATCTGGTTACCCTCCAAAAACAACAGTTATTAGTCAGGAAATAACAATCATTATTAGGAAAAGTTAACTGTAAAGTATTAATTTTTTTCTTAGTAAAATTTTACTAACTTAATAATGAAAATATTGTAACAATTGTGATTTATTAGTCAGTCAATTATGGGTATTCAGTGCTACAATATTTTTTTCTAATTACATCATATGCTTTATAATTATTTGGGTGATTCCATGGTAACCGACGTTACAATTCATGTATATACACATCTCATATCCAAGAGTTAGACAAAACATGAGGGAAGGAAAAATAGGCTATAGTTAGGGTGAAAAACCCAGTTTTTTGGCCAAAGTGGCAAACAATTATTTACAATGGTTTTTTGAGTAGAAACTATCTAAGAGGGTTTCAAGAGCCACCAAAATAAAAGTTGGAACAATTTTTCCCATGGGAAAAAGAGTTATGACCTTTTATATAAAGGTCAATCTATTTTTAGTAACAAACACTGAAACAGTGACCCATAAAACAATTGCAAAAAAACTTTTGTTCGGATGTTTTCTGTAGCATAAGGTCTAGAAAAGATGAATATGTATATTTTAGCCAAAAATTGCACAAGCATCAAGTGATTTTTCCAAAATGGCGCCAAAAACATTAAAATAGCCATAAATTAAGTTCTTTTTGTCTCGGAGTGTTTTTTTTTTCTTAACTGAAACCAAAATTCATCTGATAATGATTAAATAAAAATTTAAAAAAATTGAATAATTCCAAAAGTCATCCAAAATGCTATATTCATTTTTCATATCCGTAACCCATTAATTAGTAGTCCTATTTTGGTGATTGCAGTGTCTACATTTTCTGGGTCATAGCATTTATCAATATCATTTAAAATATGATTTAATAAGAGCTTAAGTAAAATATAAATAAATATCAAATTTGGAATGGTCTCTATACAGTGGCATGTCTAGGGAGTGTGTGAGGTGGGGAAGGGTTGGGAGTTGGTGGGCTTTGGGACGCTGTCCAAAAAAAAAAACTTACGCCTCCTTCGCATTGGAAGCAAAAAGGTCAGCTAAAGTAGTTAAAATCATTGAATATCATCTTATTTTGCAACTTAACGCCCAGTGGCGGATCCAGGTGAGGGGGAGGGGGTTCAAGAGATTCGGACGAACCCCCTCTGTGAAGAAACGTAACAAAATACTATTGGGTCCTGGCTTACAAAACGCATTACCAACCGTTTTTCGCGCATCGTGCGGGACGGTCCCGCTTCAAAGTGATTGTGGATGTAACACGCATTTGGCAGAAACCCATGCGTGATCTTAAATTTGTTACGCATTTAGTCCACGCATGACGACGAATAATCACGAATTCAGGGAAAATATATTTAAAATTAGA